AAGTACAGATACACGAAAATTGTGCTTAAGTACAGTAACGAAGTACTTTTACTTCGTTACTTCCCACCACCGTCAACACTGTTTGACTGCATTTCTCCACAAAACATGGCAACAACCGCCTGACCAATCACACAACACACCTCTCTGCCAACAGAAGGATGGCGCTGTCATCAGGCTTTATGTCAATGAAAGCTTATTTTGGCTCTGTGGATAAAGTATCTGAGGGCCTTCAGGCCCATGCTGGTCTCCGCACACAGGGAGCTGCATTTGGCCGCTGGTATCCGGGTCTTTTGGTTCTGATCCAAATGTCATGATGGTAGTTGAGGAACATAGACAGATCAGTAAACATAGGAACCTAAACATACGAATTTGTTAAAATCATATGTAAACCAGCTAATTAAATCTTCAGAAAATAAACAATAACATTAATCAGTTAGGATGGATCCATATTATGAAGAACCAGTAAGATCGGTTTGGTTCTGGAAACAAAGCTAAGTGGATCTGACTGATGGTTGCTGCAGAATTTAAAAGTCCTGAATGTTGGAGCAGTCAGGTATTTCAGATGTTTCTGGTTCTTCTTGGAGGTTCTGATTCCTGATCCAACTTTTGCCTCACTTCCACTGAGCGGTGCGGTACGGGTCGGTGTGGTTCGGCTCGGTGCGGTCCGGCGCTTTCAGGGGAAAAACGCCGGACCAAGGAACGACTCTGAGGGCAGAAAGGGTTAAACCAAATGAGGCATCAGGCTAGTTAGTTTAACCAGCACGTCCCTGTGATGTTTCTCTGCGCTCCAATCAAAGGACGGTGTTGTGTGACGGAATTTAAGCACCTGTTGTCGCCAGACTCCGCCGTCCGTTTAACATGGGTATTGTTTTAGCCTTTCAGCCTACTTCATGTTGTAGTCAGGTCCTACTAAAGTGATTTCTAGATCCCAGCCCAGCCAGCATACCTAGGTGGGCAAAAGGAGGGAAAAGGAGGACAGACAATATGGGTCCCTTATGGGTTTGTCCGTGGTTTCCATGGCAGTGGGCCCACATAGGTTTGCCCATGTAGGTCCCATGTAGGGCCACCACCTACATGGGACCTACATCGGCCCTACATTGCGGTGGGCCCATATGGGTTTGCCCATGTGGGCCCACCGCAATGTAAGGAGGTTCTGCCAGTAACCAGGCCAGAGCCCGGCTGGTTAAACTGAAACAGATGAACGTGGTTAAGGGACAGACAGCGTATTGCAAGAAGGTTGAGGGGGGCTGACTGTATGCTAACCCCCCCAGATATGCTATTTTATTTATATAATTATAAGTGATTTCCACTATCAGTAATGTTGTGTCTACCAGAGGATTCCTCTGGTCATTATCTTTCATTAGAGCCTCTTTGATGACTGTATGTTGAAGCACTGAGGAGTTACAGTCATTTGAAGTTTGTAAATCAGGTGCTGTCCAAGTGTGCCATTTGGAGACGCCGAATGGAGACTGACTCTGAATGGCACACTTGGACAACACCTGTACATCCTCATAAATAAACATGTCCATTTCTTTTTGTGCTATTTTGATCAATCTTGAAATCCATAAGCAGAATACTTTAATCTACAGATTTATTGTATCTTCCAGTCCTTACATTCAACACTCAATGTGTTGAATGTATACAGACCACTTAACATGTGATGTTTTTGGACTGTGGGAGGAAGCCGGAGAACTGGAGACCCCGCCATGCTCAGGGACAACATGAAAACTTCATGCAGAAAGACCCAGGCCGGGAATCGAACCCAGAACCTTCTGCTGTAAGGCAACAGCTCTACCTACTGCACCACAATGCAGCCATGTATTTTCTTAACCTTCATAAATTTCTTTGAAAATTCATGTCGTGATTCTCGCTAGTTTGATCCAGTAAACCAAAAGTAAAACTGTTGGTGAAAACAGGCGATTTAACTCCAGTTGTCCTGATGTATTTACCATCCCGTCCAAACTTGGATTGTAATGAGTGTGATGGGGTTAAAGTTGATGTGAATGTGCTGCATGGAAAACCCAGAGATGTATTCCAGCTGTGTTGTAGGAAATCAGCCAATCAGGGTGTATTTCTCTTTGTTTCTTGCATTCAGTTGATTAACATGTTAAGTAGGGACGCTCCGATCAGGCTTTCTGCTGCCCATTCCTATCATCCATGAGGCCAATCTCTGCCGATCACCTGGAATGGCTGTTAATGTTTCGCTTTACGTATAAATGAGACTATATAATTGGAAAAATTATCTGGCAATAAATTCACCTAATTTAGACATAACAGACATATTTTAATACATATCTAAAATCTGCTGCAGCTCCAAGCAGCTGCTCGCTGTGAGAGCTCACCGTCTGGAGGCTGAGCGGCTCCGTCTGGGAAATATTACCACCAGTAGCGGCGGTCCGACAGCAGAACCAGAACCAGAACCGGCGTCTCACTCCGCAGCTCCAAGACTTGAATTATTGTTGGGGATATTTGTTTAGCTTTCTGACCGTGATGCTAATCCGGTGAGTGTTGGTAGCTGCGCTGCTCTACCTGCTGATGGGTCCGGATGTCTTTTGTTCCTGCATTGATGCAGCCAAATCAATCAAGTGTTTGTTTTTAATTGTCATATTAGATTTGATGTGTTGATGTATTTTGTCGTGCTTCACCCTGAGGTAATTCTCCGCTGTGACTCGCAAACGTCCCGGTTCACTCAGAGTTGAAGTTTCTCACCACAGGGTTTGTTGCTGCGTAGTGAGAAGGAAAGAGGAGAGCAGCTGCAGGCTGAGGAGGGAGATTAATGTGATCGGATTTAGTGATCGGCAACAAGAGACGCTGATCGATCACCGATCATACACTTTTTCACGGAAATCGGCCAATTTTACACTATTATATTCTTGTAGAGTTATTTTATGAATTATTGTTATTTTTAACTAGAAGTGACATCAGGAGGAACAGTTGATCCTGCTCTCTCTTGTTCTTATTTAAAAGTTATTTTATATCCTCATAACTTCAGCTCTAACAACCTGAAGTCCATCCAGTCTTTACTTTTTTCAAGCTGAACCAGATCAAGATGTCTCTGGCCGACACAGGGACATCAGCAATATTATGCACTTCAATCAGCAGAGATTCATCAACTGGAGAGGAACTCTGAGACCAACCCAGGTTCAACTCTATTGACTCAAAACAACGACCAGCTCAGTGATGGAGAAAGGACTTCAGTCAGGAGAAATGAAGATTGAGCAACTGGAAGTGAATATTGAGATAAGTGCTGTTTCTGGCTTCACCAAGCAGCTCACCTGGAGCTCTGGGAGATGAACTGAAAAACACTTTGGATCTGACGACTAACAGGAAGAACCCGGCACTGAGACAAATCCCTGCA